CACCACCTTTAAGATCTCAATCAATCAGAGGCAGCAGACACCTGAAAACAAGAGCAAGCTTTTAAAGCATGTGAGGGAGCTAATCAAATGAATCCATCTTATGATTAAAACACAAAAAAGAAAGTATACTTGTCCAGTACAGAGTTCATGATGTGTTGTAGTGTTTATGGACAAAGCCTACATAGTTTATGAATATAGCTGAAACAACTACTTAACTACTTGATGTATCTTTTAAGTCATTTATCAAGTAAAAGTGTCAAACATTACCTAGTTCTAGCTTCTCAGCTGTGATGATTGCCTGTCGTATGAGACAGTACATTTTTGGGTGTTGGTCTGTTGGTCAGGCAGAACAAAGACTTTGAAGACATCACCTTGGAAATAATCAATTTTCTGCACTTTGCAGCCCTATTTATGAACTAAGCAAATGAAGTGACTACATAAAACTCCAAGCAGCACTCTCCCATGGCTTTCATGACATGCATAATATACAAACCCCAGTCACTAATTAAATATGAGTGAAAAGTGGTTTAGAAGAGGACAAAAACAATGACAATATGCTGTATCCATCCACTAATATGATGTGTGAACTAGTACTTTTTATGAATATTATTCGAATGGAAGAGTTTGATACCCTATAATATTAGCAGAAAGCGATGACCTTGTCCACTAGGGGGGTAGTGAATTAACACAGTGCCAAATTAATTACGCCTTTGCTGTAACACAGCAGGATGTGGCGAGTGTGGAGGCTGAGAAACTTGGATTCAGGCTGCTGTAAATGCAAGGCAGGTTCTGCTGAAGTGTCTTATGTCAGAACATTTCGTTTACCCTGCAAGCTGTATGTTTTTTCCCCTTTTTTTGATTTCCTTGTCACTTAAACCTCCCATGTGGCTTTATCATCAAATGTCTGGGACAAAGACCGGAAGTTGCAGATCTTTCATCATGAGCACAAAAAATAATATTGTGAGACCAAATACAGCTTGTGCAGCCTGATTTTGTTACCCTCATTCTGGTATTCTAACTACCTGCATCAACTCATTTTGCCACTTGATGGCAGTCTGGTGCCACTGAGACGGCTGACTGAGCAGCAGCAGCGGTTTACAGCTGCCTTTCCTGAGTCCACATTTTTACAAAAGTACAGTATTTAACCCAAGATATCATTATTGTGGTTTGCTGCTAGAAACTTCATATGGCTCTCCAGAAATATCTGCTATTGGAAAACTATAACATACGTTGCTTAAAGTTCAGACAAAGGTCTGCAGGGTTAACGTTACACTTCACCGCTCCAGAAGATTTCCAGTGGCAACTACTTCATACCAATAACATTACAGTAGCTTATGTCACTGGGAAATGCTATATAAAAGTTCTGATAGCTACCAGAGTCAGTTACAAGATCTTTACGTCACCCCTTCTCTCCATTAAGTAGAGAAAAAATAATCTAAACGATGATGAAAAGGAAAAATGCCTGCAATTAGGGAGGCAGTGAAGGGGTTTCCTGCCCTCACCACACCCTGTGAGACAGCCTTTCATCACCAAATCCTTTTCTCCAGACTAAATGTACAGACACAGCTGACAGAGAGGGTCCAACCGCAATAATGTGCCATGGAAAAGCTGCTGCAGAGGGAGACACGAAGAGACACTGTTCTATAGAGATAGAGGTGAAAGAGACAGAAGGAGGCGGGTGATACAGAGTGGAAGTGGGAAGCCTGATGCAACCATTTACATAAATATAACAAGTGTGGTAAGTAGCAGGAGGTTAATTATGACATAATGCTCTGTGAGTTACTGTAGTTCAGGTCTTCATTGTTTCCAGCGCAGCACAAAGTCAGCTCAAGTTATCCTCCCCTGAGCCCCTAAAATATTTTTGTGGCAAGTGCTTTCATCCTGAATCGATTCAATTATTTCATTACCTGTCTGTTCCTATTCCACATAGTCCCTTTTGCTACAAAATGAATGAGACCTACAAATGTAAAGTCGGGGGGCAATCATGCAGACCAGACAGTCTACGCCGGGTGTCTATAACTACATCTTTAGATCTAATATCTACTCGAGAGCCACAGGGCAAACTGACACTCTTGAGGAGCTCATCAGATTGTTTCTAAGCCTCGAATTAAAAAGAAAAAAGATGATCAGACATTCTTCTTCAGAGATTCCACATTTTGGTACAGCCTGACAGAAGAACTTAAGCTCACAAAGTCTGTGTCTTTTTTTTTTTTAAATTCACTACTTAGAACAAAGTTTTAAACACTTGCTTTCAAACAATTCTTCCTCCCGCGTTAAATCCTGTTTTTTTATTCTGAGCTTTGTTTCTCACTCTCTGTAAAGCACTTTGTTAACTTTGTTTTTAGAGAAGCGCTATATAAAGAAAGTTTATTATTATTCAGGGTCATGGGGGACTGGATCGTTTCCCAGGATGCATTAGACAGAAACAGACACTCTAAACACAGTGCCAGTCTACAGATGGACAGTCACTCACGTTAACACCTATTGGCAGTTTTGAGTTTCCAATGGGAGCAGTAGATATAGCACTCTGGACTCTATCTGGTGAGTTTTATTTGCTTGATCAATCATTATAATGTCTGTATGTATGCTAAATACTAAGCTAAATCTAGCAGCCAATTATCTTAGCATCAGACTAGAAACAGGGGCAAACAGGTAGCTGGGCTCTGTCTGGAGGTAAAAAGAATCTTACAGTCTTTGTTTTAAGCTAAGCTAACCAGCTGCTAACTGTAGCTTCATATTTAGGGTACAAACATGAGCGTGGTATTGATGTTCTTGTCAAACACTAAAACTACACCTTTAGTTTTGAAAGCTAAACAAAAATCTATTTCACAAGGTCTTTTCCCCTAAAATATTGAGCGATTCTTTTCACTAAGCAAACACACATATTGACCGTCATCATCCTCACATCAGTTTTTCGACCTCATGGGAAATGAGTTCACGTAAATATCTGGACTATAAAAGGAAGTCCATGCAGGGTGCTGAAGCAAGGATCTAAAATACATAATCGTAATCTCTGTTTATACTATTCATCAGATTTTGTAACCCTTCAACATGTGCACAAACAGATGGACACTGCGACACAAAGCACACAAGTCTCCATCTTTGCTTACACTGCAGAACTACACCACCTCCACATAAATAAAAATAAATCATCCACCTGATGTAGAAGTTTTCAAACAGATCTCTGACAGTTCTGCCCTTATTCCTTCTCAATGAAGAGCTGAGCTCCAGTTAAACGCTGACCTTGCTACTCCCACGGCTGAGCGGTCTGGTCTGGCCTGGACCTCCACCCTTCCCAGCCTCCTCCATACTCCCCCTGGGCAGAAGGCCATGACCGCAGGGAACGTCTCTCATCCTTTCTCTCTCAACCTACTCTCTGTCTACCCTCTGCCCTCTGCCCTCTCTATCTGATGGAGCATGAGTAACTCTGTCTTTCAGGAGCTGTTTATATGCCGTTACAGGAAAGCTTATGGCGCTCACAGCTGCAATGGATCGATCACATGGTGACCTTGCCAAGCTTGAGATGTTCTTGAGACGCCTACGGGAATGAAAGGACTATGAGGCATAAAAACAACAGGTCAGACGGGAGGTAGAGCAAAAGAAAATATACAAAAGATAATTCTTAAATCCAGTCATGTAAACTTTCCTTAACAGTGGCTTTGAATGCTGATGGTGAAGAGAGAAATGATAAAACAAAGATTAAAGATGACAGATTGATTAATCGGCGGTGAGACAACCACACAGAGGTTGGCTGCATACTTTCCTGGGATGGTGTTAGTTTAGCGACTTTAAATACTACACCATCATTCTTTTATGAAAACTGAAAATAATCACAAGCAGTATGATTGAGCACAAGTGAGAAGAAAATAAGGTCAGATTAAAACTGCTGTTATGATAACACAGTTGAAAAACAGTATTTACATTATTATCCAAACAGAGGGGAAGTTACTGGAAAGGTCTGCTATTTCTGGGGCCCTCTTGCGGCAAATATCTAAAAGAGGATATTTCTGCTCGGCATGTTAAGGCCTCACTGACCCTGAAACACATCACTCCTCTACCCTCCCCACATCCCGCTCCTGCCTTACTTGAATTGTGTTTCATTCCTGCAGAATGTGGTGTTACATTGCAGATAACTGTTATAAACGTTAGCTCTCAGCCTAACTGAGTTTATGTTTGATGACTCAGACTGGAGGGGAACTCCTAATTTGGGGAGGACTGTGGGAATGGGCATGAACTCCCAGGGGTGATGGGAAAAATCAGGCAATTTTTCACCAAGCAGCTCCAAATGAGCTGTAACACTGATGGTAGCAGCTCATTCAGAAGTTCTCTGCGCCCTTGAGATGAAGCAGACAGCAAGCCAGGAGGTGCCGGATTGCTCTGATGTCCTCCAGCTTTGCATTGCTCGGCCGCTGTCGTGCCAAAGACAAGGAGATCTGTGCCTCCTCCAAAAAAGGCAGAAACATTTAGGCAGCGGCGCGCATCCTTAACCCAACCCATCCTGTCCCTTACAGGTCCGCTCAACAAAGACCAGACACATCGAGTGTGTACCTCGCAGGGTCTGCTTTATAACAGGCCACTGTGTCGCTGGTCTCACAGCACTGAGGACGCAGCTCAGGGTAGACGCCTCCACTTAACATACTGTACCCACCAGTGTTTACAGAGAGCTTTCACTGCAATGCACATCTCATCCCTGATGGATGATGATTACTGAAGCAGGGCTCTTATGCTAGTTAGCATTTACTGTCAGGTATTTACATATTCAGGCAGAAACACAAGTGTTACATTCCTAAATGAAAGAACTGTAGTCAGGAAATTTAACTACTCTTCATATTCTTGTAGGTGCATATGGTCAGATAGACACACAATTTTGTCCCTTGGCAGTATGCAAACATTAAAGTATGGGCAACAGACCATAGCACCATTTGCTTCTGCAAAATCTAACAAAAAGTGGATTTGAAGGGATGCCCAACTGTTAGTCAAAAGTGCACTGTCATCCTTACCTGGCGCACAAGGCTGTTGGTGGTGGTGTCAGAGGAGGTGCTGCCATCTGAACCTTTAAATCGGCCTTTTCTCCGAGCTCCTTTGCCTTGAGACTTCAGAGAGCAAAAAGGGAAAATAGTGGTTATAATAATAGTGGTAAAAAGTTGTGAAAGATGAGGTTCTCATCTTTTCAAGCCTTTCTTAAAACAATACTTTCTGGCATTTTTGACTATTTCCTGACATCTTGTAGACCCAAAGATTAATGGATTGATCAAGAAAAGTATTAATCTAATGTTATAGGTAGCCTGATAATTGCTGGTTGCAGTCCTAAAGCTATTTATCACAAACCAAAGTCAGTGCACTAATAAATTAATCAACTGTTTCAGCCCCATTTCGAATGTCTTTTTTAGTCTCCAAAAACTGGTTCAACATACATCTAGGCATGTGGGAATACTGCTTTAAGATATACTTGAAAAAAATGTGAATCCTTTAAATGTACAAATACGGCCCCGCTGTTACGTCAATTAGTGAGCTATAGCGTTCAGTGTTTTACTTGAAGTGTAATATTATGACAGGTGTCATAAAATTATGGCAATTATGTGGGTGGTCTCTATTATGCAAGCTGATATGATGAGGGGCTGGAAAGGTAATGCACTCAGCTCCAGTGCTCATACAGCATGTGTTGCTAGTAGAGACTGAAAAACAGAAATTCATTTCAAATATGCCTTTTATTCCATCCCATTCCCTCAGGACATGTTAATCATGCACATAAAAAGAGAAGGAGAGCTATTCTGACTGTTTCAGAGGAGCTGATCACGTAGAACGGTTTGAGCTGCCCAGACAGAGTCTAAAAGGAACAGGATGAGGTTTAATTAACCCCAATAAACCAAATAGGAACAGCAGTATACAAATTGAACAAATATACTTTACTGCACGAGAAAGATAATATGTAATCCATTCCACAATATTTTTATCTGAGGATTTCTGAAGCTTTTGTATGAGCAGATATATTCATAGACTAAAACGATAGTGTAAAGTAATTACATTTACTCAAGTACTTTACCTGATTTACCACAACTCCATTACATTTCAGATGGAAACATTTCACTTCTCACACCACTACATTTATATGACAGCTGTAGGTAATTTGATTAATGAGGTTATGATTGTTCATTCAAAACATCTTAATGGTTACTGAATGATATATGGTATATAAAATACTAATTTATTTTTTACCTCAACCAGATAGCATTAAAATGCTGCACAGTAAACGCATCAGTAAAAAAAATCTTAAATAAGAAATTAAACAATGACTACTTTTACTTTTGATGCATTTTATATTTAACTATCTTTCGTTGATAATACTTCTGTACTTTTTGAATTCAAGACTTCTTACATAAGTTACACCACTATAAAATGGCTTTATAGTTTCATTTGGAAATGTAGGCTCACAAGTATTGAGAAATTTCACTAGCAGCCAGGCTAAATCATGTTTAAACTTTTCTGACATTTCAGCAGGTATTAGTATAAAATAAAACAATTGACAATGGCTACAAGCTGATAAAAGAGACCAGCGTTCAAACCATGGGATTCAAACGACAATAAATAACGACGATTTTCAGTTTTTTTTTTCAAAATGAAACGTTAAAAATTCAAAATTCGAACTGGCGAGATGATGTCCTCGCGGATAATTACGTAATCAAAACTTATTTTAAGTCTTAATAAATAGGCGAGAGGAAGTGGACAGGTTGAGGGCATGTGAGCCAGTTCATTGCGTGCAAACTTTGGTGAACTATCACAGACTGTGAAATGAAAACATCGGTGTCATTCAAATTAAATTAGCTTACTTGTAACATCGGATGTTCCAGCGAGTCCATGTGTTTGTCCAGAGGCGTTGCTGCTCCTGTTTTTGGAGTATTATTGACGACCATTACACCATTTGACAAAAGCAAATATTCGACAAAACCTCTCGGCTTGGACAGATGCTGTGTCCAACATGAAAGCTAAAGCGCATTTTTACCCATTCACCGGTTCATATTAACGAGTTAAAAACTGATAGAAGTGAGGCGCTGGCGTTCACCTGGCACCGCCAATCCTCAAGTTTGAGGCAGGAAAGGTAAGGAGGAGCTTGTGCGGAAGAGGATTGCGAAGCAGTTTTCCTCCAGTTCAGATGATGATGATTATAATGAGGGTTTGAATTCTCGGATATTATAGCCTTCAGCATCACAGAGCCTCCTCGTGAGTGCCCTCCTACCCACACTGGCTGAGAGCTCTGCTCCATGCGCCCTCATCCAGCGCCAATACCTCCTTCTCACCACAAAAGGATGAAAATGAATTACAGCACCCAAGCAGAAAATGCCTCTGAAAAGAAAATGTATTGTATAAAAGCCTTTAACCATTAAGTGACAAGAGTGGATTAAATCTTGAACCTCTATAATTCAAGAATTTTCTAGGATCAGCTGTATGATATTGTACCTGAACCTTTTCAAGAAAGTGGTTTACTGAGTAAGGAACATTTTAAAGCCCAGTGCCAGGTGGTTAAAACCTTTGTTGTTGCCAATTCATTATTGTCTGTAACTAAATGACATTAGATCCAGGGAAATTTTAATTTGAAAAAGGAAAGCTTAAAGGTGCTATATGTAAGTTTTTGCTATGGTTGGTTAGCATTAGCAGCGGTTTACTTACCAGTCTAGAAGATCCCTTGCATTTTCACCAAACTCCATTCCTTTACTTGCCAAGAACTTCTTTAGCGATGGAAAGCAACACTAAGGTTAATTCTTGTTTTTTCTTTTATTTCTATCACTTTTCGTTTACTGAAGGTAGTATGCTAACCAGCTAGCCCGACACATCCCTTCTCGTAATAGCCTGCTACTTTGCGATAGAGTCATTATAGAGGATGTGAAGAGGGGATAAGAAGTAGCGCTGCCCAGAGGGTGCATGCTAACCTCTCGTAAACACAATGACGGCTGAAGCGCTTGGCAAGCAAACATTATCACCACTGCCATCCACTCCTGGCAAAAAACCTCGTTCAGCACCAGAGAAAACTAGCACCTTTAAAGAGTAACTTAACACCGTAGCCCAAATGATACAGGATTTTTGAGGCCAAATTTGAGTTTTAAAATCCAAAAGACAAATGATATATTGATATCAACTTTTGGTATACCAATTTGTTCCTTTAACAGTTGTGACCAAGGTAGAACTAGGCAAGATATTTTACAGTTGAAAAATAAACCTGTTACTATTCTCTGTTGGACAAACTACACTTTTGACTGTTTCAAAACATTGGCAGTTCTGTTCTTCAGTTTCTTATCATTTATCTGCTGACATACACCAATATAATGTATCTGCAGTGAGCTAATAATTGGCGATTAACTACCCAGCTGACTCAACACCGCCTGAAAATATGTTTTTTTCCTTACCTTGAGTGGTTGAATATATCACATTGCTGCAGTGATGTGCAGGTGTACTCCAGGACCCCATGACATCATTGTTGGGTATGGTTACAGGTGCAACAGACTCAACCACTCTGTCAAAGGTGAGAGAGGATTAAAAATTCAGAATGGAGAGTAAAACATCACCTTTCAGCCTTGAGTTATGTTATTCTTTAAAACTGACAGCAAGAAATCAGATTGTTGGCTACGTAATCAGTGAAACAAGTCTACATTATCAGCTCCTTACTGCTATAGCACATGCTCTCACATTCATTATGGTTGGGTCTACAGTCATAGATTATATCCCATTTGGCTGTATTCAAACTTGGTCATTACACAGTATGGTTTTTCTTGCTTCATTAAGCAACTGTAATTATCAATAGCTTATCAAAGTAGTCGCAGATTAATTTTCTGTTGATCAGCGAACTGTGTATTTGACTAATTGTTTCAGTGCTACATTTAAAGGAGACATTTGCTGAGACAGTAGCTGTTTGTACTTCCTCAGGTGAGTTCGCCACAGAGGTGAAGGAAGGATACTGCATCTACCATTCTATCACACAGTTTTGTGCATATGGTACATCCAGTAAACTTAGACAATTCAAACCATGTGGTGAAACTAAAGTGAACTCCTCCTGAGACAATTTTTTTTTGCCACAGACATCCCTGAGGTTTTGTTATCTGTTATTGCCCTCTAGTGGTTTCATGTGCTTTTGTATTTCAAAGGGGACACTGATTTTTCCCATCAAAGTGAGTTTATTAGTCATGGTTATTACTACTCAGCCTGTGAAAACAGCTGTCTAGTGAAATTATCCCAGATGATGACAGAGTGATGTCATCAGGGTTATTTCGGCTCGGTGACTACAAGTTTTATTAGAATTACCAGCTGTGTGGAGTTTGAAAAGTGTGGGCTTTTTCGGTATGGATGGTTTGACAAAAAATATGTTGCACTGTGGGAAATGTAGGATGCTGTGTTTTATGGAACTTCACCCTATAGTGATTAATATTCAGGTTAACTGCCTGTGTTGCTTCAGTTTTGATTTGTCTCTCTTAAGTTTCCCAACTTTATGAAAATGCACTACTAAAGTGATAAAGTAGCCCTTTAAACTAAACACTAAATCACTGACTCAGTAATGCCAAGGTAGGCAGCAGTTTTAGTAGAGATAATTAAGAAACTCACATAAAATTAGGATTGCTGCTTTCCATAAATTCTTTAACATTTAAGAAATTTTTTCTCTGATGGGTCACTAGTCCTGTGACTGTACACAAATAAAATGTCTCATTATCACTATCCCATGTGGTTTTGAGTGACAACAATAACAGGTGCAAATGATTATTTTCAGTCAAATCCTTTTAAATCAAAGGGAAAACACTTTTATGTTTCCTGTTTGTGTCTTTCGCTTGTAGTGTTTCCCATCATTCCTGTGTGTTCTGCTGCCTTGATGACCCTGGAAATGAACTCTTCTTCTGACAGGTCTCTGCTGAGCAAGGGATGATGCTCAGTGTTCACACCAACATGCCCCAGATAAAAAGCCCTTCCTTCCTTCATCCTGGCAGCAGTTGACTTGAAACATGCACACTTGCCAACAAATGCCTCTTTGGTACAAAAGAGCAGATTTACACACAAACCATTAGGTCTGAAGCTTTCCTGGAAATGCCAATGGGGTTGGCATTTCCAAAATAACAGCAGAGTTGCTAGAATAAGAGAAAACGCTTTGGACTTCCTCCTATTGTTTTAACATTACTCGGGAAGTCACAGTAAATGGTGTCAGCTTTTTCTGACGTGATAGTCAAATAATCTCATGGCACTGTCAATATTACTGTCTTTGCACTTTGATAGTAAGCTTAAAATGGCAAGTTTACATAATCACCATGCAAATTCTGCAATGAAACTAATCCCCTGAACAAATAGGGGAAGTGCTTGACAGCTGTTTACTCAAATATGACAGAAATATGTTGATGATGAGAGCACCAGAATTTAATCACAACAAGCTGATTAAATAGATGAAAAAAAATTATTTTTTAAGCCCACTCATTCTTTCAATATCACAAATCCAATTTTATGTACAAATAAGTTGATTTGCTGTGTTTCATTTATTTTATTGTACTAATGTATTCATAACATCCTCTTCTTCCACCACCTCCTTCTGCAGGCCCACTCTGGCCTGTAAAGAGCGTGTGCGCTGTGTGGGCCGGATCACCCCAGAGTTCTTCTGTCTTTTACAGCTAGCATTAGTCATCCAGGTTGGTGGATGAAGAGAACAAATGGCTCAGGTGGGTGGAAGTGCCCTCATATTGGATCACAGAGACGCCTCAAAAACAAAGAATGATGCCTCTGAGATGAGAAGATGAAAGAGAGCAATGCTTCTGAAAACAGTAGAAGTATTTTAGAGCAGCGTAAGTCTAACAAAGAGGTATTTTTGCACCTAATATTGGAGTTTCTCATTAAGCCAATCAGGTTTTGTATATTCATAAATTGTTCAAATCAAGATAATGCTCTATTATGGGTCTGTAATTTCCAAATAATTTCTCTGATACTTCTCAGTGTTTCCTGGAATGCACTATTGTCTGTAATTTGGTACTTATTATTGACTTTGACAGACATGGGCATTTACCAGGCAGAGAGGAACTGATTAAAGATGGATTGAATAACAATAATAATAACTGTATTTATATTTTCATGTTACAAAGTGCCTTACAAAGACAATGACAGCAAGGGCAATACTAAATCACTGGAGTGTCCCTTTGAGTGAAATTAATTAACTGAAAGTGTACTAATTGAATACTGCCTCTATTTTTCTTAGAATTTGTATTAAATGTCACTGTCCTTAAGGAAATGTCAGAAATTATGCAGAAATTAGAGGTCTGTATAATAAATCAATACATAAAATAAAACATTGTACAAAATTCCCACATGAGCTAACTTTCTTATGATCTACATAAAGACCAAAATACATACAAAATAAAAGAAGTAAATTTACAATATTTTGTATCTTGCTGGTGAGAAATGTCTTCAAAATCGAATGATCTGATTGTCAGAGGAAACATGAATATTTCACAAAACAGATATGCACAATTGCACCTGATGCTCGCAAATAAGGTCATAAGGGTTCAAATGACCTCAAGTGTCCATATCCAGGCACCCATGACACCTAACATACAAAAATAAAGGATTATACAACTATACATGACATCTTTACTGTGTCATCCAGTGCTGAGACTACAACATTATGAAATACTCACTCATTGACCAATAATGACTTGTTAAAACATTCTGGTTGCACAATCTAACACTTGCACAAATAAAATTATGCACAGCATCAGATAAAAATCAAATAACACTAAAAATCAAGTCAACACTTGTTTCAGTTCAACCTTGTCTGAATACATACTGTATGTCATGTGCACTCATTTAGAATTTGAGTTCATGTTCAAAGAGTGCGAGGAGCAAAAGACAGGCCCAACCCATCAATAGACCGAGGTTCTGTAGGAGAAACATGAGACATGGTCTGTCGGTCTTCACTCGACTCATCTCTGGAAGCTGGTAAAAGAAAGACAATAAGAGTTAAAACACAACCCTCAACATTTTGACAGAAAGGAGGGAGACGGCTGGCATTATTATTCTGTATGTGTCTTATTGTCTTGAAATCCCATGAAAAGGCAAAAACCCTCAATGTCTCAATCTGTGGCTCAAAACTTTCTTACTTTCCCACTCAGCCCCAGGCCTACTCATTCCCTCTGCAAACATACATTGAGCTAAATGCTAATGTCAGCATGCTAAAAATGGTCACAATGGCAATGCTAACATGCTGATGTTTACCAGGTATAGACCTAATGTTTGCCATGTCACCATCTAATTCAGCATGTTAGCATGCTAACATTTGTTAATTGGCACTAAACCAGGTTACAGGTGAGGCTGATGGTAATGCTGGTAGCTTTGCAGGTATTTGGGGCGTAAACCGAAGTATGAAGGTGCAAGATGAAAAGTCAGAGTGATGATGTTTATGATTGTGGTGATTATTGGTGATTACCACTAGCATGGCAAACAGTGACACATGAATATACTGTATAGTTTAATTTCAGCAGCTGGGCATTGTAGTATTTTTGTGAATCTTACTCAGGAGTAAAAGTGTATTTGCTGGGGACTATTTTCTATCTTTCTCACTGATGTGTTTTTAATCATTTTTAGAGGTCTAATGCACAGAGAAATAATCTGTCAGTTAACTTGGATTTGGGCTTTTCATGGGATCAACATCACCAGCCTTTAATGAGGCTGTCTTACCATTTCTACCAGTGACAAGTAGAGGAAAATCCCAGCAGTGACAGTGAAGATCCACTGCTGCACCTCTGTCTCTGAGGAAACAAAGAGTCCAATGTAGAGGCCCATAAAGGCTGTCAGAGCGCTGAGAAAGTTCATCAGCACGGCAGTCTTCACTGAGAGTCCAGAGCTGAGCAACACTGCAAAGTCTCCTTTGAGACAAAAACCAGACAAGAGAATTCGGTCAGTCAAACAGAGTATTTCCTGGCCTCTGCCAAAAAACCAAAAAAAAAACAAAAAAAACAAGAAAAGTGCTCCCAAAGCAAGCACAGTGACCTCTCACCCATCTCGTGGGGGATCTCGTGGCACAGGATAGCCACGGTGGTTGCCATGCCAGTTTCGGCTGAATAGGAGAAGGCCGCGCCGACAACCAGGCCATCGGCAAAGTTATGAAGGCTGTCTCCCACGATTACCATCACAGCCAGCAGAGGAACCCCTTGTCCTGGGAATACAAAGCGAGTCTGTGTCGTCAAAGCACATCCTCAGACCGTGACAATCGCTCCGTCATGCCAGGCGACTAATTACAAAGTACATCACATTTGTCTGTGTGTGATTGTGCAATTCATGTTGAAGGAGCTTACTCCGATGTGAAGGGCTCCTTGTGTCTGCGTGTTCAGGAGATATTTCTGCACATTCCAAGTCATCCACTGGTCCCTGCAGGATCCAGATAATTATTTACAGCACAGATTTTTTGAACCACTTCGACCTTTTATTCTAATTGAGATTGAGGCAAATTCACCAAAAGAAGATATTTTTACACAACAAGGATGGTTGGAATATAGTCTGTAGTTTACAAAAAACAAACTTTCCACATGAGAGAACTGTCTCTGTGTCCAAAATGTTCTGGTTTTGAAGTATGTATTCAACTGTACGTACATGATTCAACACAAATATGAAGTGCTGTCTGAATGATTCAGTACTTCTCATTCTCCAACATCCTACATACCCTGTTCCTTCACTCCCTCCTACACCACTCCTCAGTTCCTGTTACATAAGAGCAGTGCTGGAAAATTGATTCAAGTGAAATACTGTTGATTTTTGAACTGCAAACATGACTTCTGTCGATTCACACTGTACTTTATCGACATTTGTTTTAATGATGAGGAAGGGATCAGAGTTGGGAAAGTTTGCTGAGCTGTCACCAAGGTTTTGTGAAGCTGTGTTCTGATTTACTGGCTGTCCTCCTGCAAACAGTGCCCTCTAGCACAACAATACTGGTGGAGGAGTAGTGTGGGAGTGAAGCGCCACTGGGGTGAATGAAACTATATTGGCAGTGCTGCAGCACAGTGAACAAAACATTTAATCAATGTGATGATTTAACTGCTGAAAGAACTGCTTCTTGGTGTAATAAGCTCTGTTGCACAAATAGTATGGTTTGGTAAAAAGGAAAAAAAAGTCCACATAATTAGGAGGGAGATAAACATGGTGTGATGATGAACTTCAGTATATTTATTTTCACGATAGCCAATAATTACCAGCGATGATATGCCAAATTGCAAAGGACACGTCATAACACCAGGACACCAAATCATAACAGATAAAAGTAACTGATGGCTTGTTAAATAAATAAATAGATGAATAAATAAATGTCTAAAATATCCAGTATGTCAGACCAAGTGATAGCAGTATGAATAGAATTAATTCTAGGTTAAATCTTATGTAAAAACTACATTTAAAAGAATCCATTTTTTATATAATTAATGGTGTTAAAATGTGTTTAAAATGAATGTGACTGAACACATTTGGAGCATGGCAGGTGGTGTCAATGAAGGGTTACCTGGGCTGTGGGTTTATTTCAGACTACAAAGGTTGGCAACCACTGAAGTGGAAGCACAACATTCGATATGTTTATTTTTTCTTTATGTTTTTTTTTCTCTCTCTTCTGGGTACTTAATACGTGGCACCGTGTAACTTCCCAGAACTGCCTTGTTATGGCCCCTGTGGTCTGCTTTATCACTATGCACATAATAGGGATGATGACAGGAATCAGGACTTAATGCCAAGAACACTTTTAAAACAATAAAACAGTTCAGTCTGGGCGACACTCACCAGCTGTATGGTGGAGATGGACTTGCCCCTCTGACCATTGCAGCTGACCTCTAATGGAAGGTCACTGGAGGGACCCTGCAGACAAAAGAAAGTCATGAGACAGCTTACATGCATAGTCATGTCATCTAGACTGGCAATGACCACCAGCCCCTTTCCGTTGATACACTATGGTTTGAGTTTGAGCTGAAGAAAAAACAAAACTCTTACATGGCCATGAGAAGGAACTAAAACTGAGAACATTCTTTCAATAAGGAAAAAGCCATAAATCCCTCCGATCATGCCCAGAATCTTCCACAGATAGTCCTTTCTTTCAGTGTAGTGCTCATCGACATGACTGTGAGTGTCGTCGTGGAGGCCCAGAATCTCCAAAGGAGACAAAAAGGAAAGAATTAGACATTTACTCCACACTCAAGACACCATTCGCGGTCGGTTCCGGTGGACGGTATACAGTGGCGTTGTACCTGTGGTATGAGGTGCAGGAGAGCGTCTCCTGAGAGGGTTCCCACCGCCAGGCCCACAAACAGCTGCAGGATGAGTGTATAGGTTTCCTGACAAGAGTTGAAGAAGATCAGGCAGATGCCGAACATGGAGCCCACCGTGATGAGCAGGACGGCAGCCGTGCTGTAGCCGTACTCTGCAGGCAGGAGAAGAGAGGCGTTTTGAGTTTAAACCCTTTTTCATGTCTAAATAATAAGATCATAAGACCAATTGTGACAAAGTCAAAACAAAAGGAAGGAAGACCCAGTCAGAGGGTCCTTTATTTATGCATCACCTTTTAAAAAGAGATTTACAAAGTGCTTCACATGTTTTTTTTTTCTTCATGCATTAGACTCTCTTTTCCAGAATGATGGTAACTTGTCAGTTTGCCCTTTCTTTCTTATTATATGTCTTTAAATTGATGACCTAGAATAAAACATTGAAAAGAAAAGGTCCTTCTCTATCCAGTAAACAAAGTCACAAATCACAGACTGGTTTCTTTTGTTGCAGACACTATATATTGCATTTATTTGCGACTGTGGTTTGTGGAGAGACACAATGAGGTAAAATGTCTTACTCTCAAGAGCAGTGGGCAGAGATCCTCTTGTTTTTTGCTCTGCAGACTCGCAGGCATTGCCTAGCAACTGCTGAATAATGGCTGGGCAAATTTGTCTGAAGTGCTCCCTGGAAATTGGCAAATGAGGATCCAGAGCAAAAATATCCACCAACTGATTGGCTGAAAAACATACCTGATTAGATTCAAAGGAAAAGACAAATTTGAGGATGAGGAGGGGGCTCAAATGAAGCTTCGGGTGCATGCAGTTTACAGCAGAATATTGCGCACTGATCAGATATTTATCTCAGCCTCACCTGTGCCCAGTCTCTGCTTACTCCCCCAGTTTCGTGGTTACAGCCATCCACCTGATGCCCCGCTGCTTTCTGCGCACTTCCTGTGATGCTCCGCCTCTTCCTGTTATGAGGAACACTGGCTCCCTCCCGACCCACTCCCAGCTGATGAAGCAGCTCCTCTAAGTCTGAGAAGAGAAGTGGCATCGCTGGATTATATACTGAGGTCGGATCTGACTAAATTAGTCAGCGGGCCATGCCAGAGTTTGTCAGAGTCACTGTTTTGATGTGCATAAGAAGCTTACTGAAGTGATCGACTTACCCATCATCTGCAGGTTACTTGTGCGATTTAGGGACTGAAAGATGTAGTCGGTAAAGAAGGCAGGTGATGGGAGGTTCCTCCGTCTGAAACAGTGGCCCTGCAGGATATGGCTGATGATGGCTGCGGCCACTTTGGGCACAGAGGACTCACCTGCACCTGGATTTTCTTTTATGTCAGCATCTTCAAGTATTTGAGTGGCATCAATACACTGTGGGATCAAAGATGAGATGATCATATCTGGCCGTGCACCTGGTGATATGGGATAGAGTTCCTAAATAATAATCCCTTACTTGCAATTCAGATGAGGTTTCTTGGTTGGAGGGGTCGTAGTGCTGGTTGATGAGCTGCAGAATACTCTCCGTTTCACTAAGTGATAGGAAGCGGTTGTCCTCACCTGGGTGCAGGTTGGTGAGGGCCAAAAGGTAGAACTGATAGTTCCCAGATGAGGAGGAGGAAGAGGAGGAGGAGGAGGAGGAGGAGGAAAGGGAAGAATGGGAGGCAGCGCTAGACATGCACAGATCTCGCAAGTTAATGATGTAGTACAGCAGAACAGTCGAGATGCGCTGGTATTCCTCCTCGGTGAGGTAAGCCTTCCCATCATCCTCCAGCACAGAGAGAGCTACGTCTGGTGTCAGGCACTGTAAAGAAAACAGGACAACTAAGCACAGAGAGCTGCAGAATATCAGGTCATGTCAACCTTATGAAAGAGAGTGACCTTAGATTTACATTTGGTGGAGAAAAATTAGGTCAGCTTGATAAAAGGCCTTTTCTCCTTGCACACACAGTACCCTGTTTCTTAGAAAATGCCTAGCTTTGTGCTGCTGCTTGTTGTTTGGCAAATTGAATACAGGCCAAATTAGACCCACGTACAAAATATAGAAGGTTAGGAGAGTGGGTGAGGCACTACTCCCTGCTAGAGAGAGCAGACTGAAGTTTAAAGTTGCGCTCTTCATTTTCTAAATCTCACTTTCAAGGCTTGAGAGCTGCGTAATCCCATTGTCAGCCCACCTGCACAAACATGTGAAGTACCTCTAACTCCACTCTATGGAGTTTATTATGTCAAACTGAGGGATGTCTAAAGCCACTCAGCGTGAATGCCCCATAGAGGTCAAGGACTTAAGCCTCCACAATCACTCGCATTCCAACCACAACAAGCACATTTCATGGAATAAGCAGACAGGAATGGGGTGAATACATAATAAAGATTTAGCATGCTGGATGTAAAAGTTCAGTATCATATAGTGACACGTGACAAGTGTAGACCTTACCTTATCACAGATGTCCTGAGAGGTCCCAGTCCGGTCTGCACAGTGCATCACCTGAAGAAGCGTGGTGATCAGGACATCAGTTTTGTTCTTCTGGAGCTGAGGTTGGTCCTCCATCCCCAGGGGAAGATCCAAGGCCTTGAGAGCCTCCTGCAGGTACCCCCACTCCTGCCCTTTCACCTCCAGCACCCTCCCCAGCAGACAAAGAGGCAGCAGCAACAGCAAAAAGGGAGCGCTGCTCCTGAAGTGCATGTTCCTACCGGGGACGTCCGACTCCCTCGAGCTCCCAGGACTGGCTAAGAGCTTGAGACAAGAAGGAGGCGATAGAGAGAAAACACATAGACAAGAAAACTGTGAGAGAAATTTGAACGAGGAGATAAAACAGAAAGCCTCTAAAAAAGAAGAGCGGTGGATGTGTTCTTGCTGAGGGAGGCGTTAATAATAGGCCCGCCAGATCTGGTGGAGGACAGGAGGGCTCGGCACCAACCCTTACAGTGCCGAATGGTCAGCCAAAGCCTGGGCCCCTCAGTCCACAACAAAAAGATTAGTGCAGGCAAGTGAGAGAGAACAGGGGCAGGGAGAAAGGGCATGGAGGGGGAGACTGCAGAGAACATAATTAGTGCTGAGGAAAATTAGGGACTTGGGAAAAGCTATTATTAACGCAAAGCAACGCCTGAGGCAGACAGAGATCCACATCTCAAACAGAGTAGGTCTTCTGAAGTGATGATCACCTCATGCAATTTATTTCCTTGGGTTGTTTCGAAACTGTCAGCTCTAAATATTGAACTAGTTTCCTTGTTTAGCAGCATCAATTGTTCACAAACCAGAGAAGAGCTGGTGCGAGTGAGTGAGCGAGTGCATGTAGTGTGTTGACTACAAGCTCCAGAGCCCCCCCCCCCCTTCGTGCAGAAAGCACCAGTGACGTTCAAATCTAAGGTTCTCGTATTCTTGTATGATCTCTGAGTCATCAAAGTTCAAACACACAGAACAAAACATGCCAGGCTTTCTCGCAGCACTCTCCAACATCCTCCCACACAGTGCGCCCTGCAGGTCAACTCGACCGAGCAAGAGGAGGACAAAACTGTTGTTGAAAAATCCTAAAAAGCTACAGTGCAAGACCGGAGATAGAGAAGATGAAAAAGCTTACTGGATGAACCAGGCTTACCATTCTCCCTTCTGCTCCTCTCAGCTGCAGTAACTAGGTTTGTTTTTCTCCTCCGGTAGGATAAGCAGAAGATCCAGTTGTTTGGGGAGAATTCTTGGGCATTGGTGCTGTTGGTAAAACCCTCTTACAAGAAGTAAGAATTAAGCTCCTGAAGATTAGCTGCGACAGCCTCAGAGGGCTCTGGTTGCCATGGAGAACACTGCCTCATTTTCAGCAGTGAGGTGAGGTGAGGAGGGGTGGGGGTGGGGAATGGGGGTGGGGGGGGGTGGGGTGGGCAGCTGCTGGTAGGGGTGATTGAATGGCTGATGCCTGATGACTTTGAAATCTTGAAATTCAGCATCAGATCAAATCATCTTTCATTTTTATACAGCAAATATCTGTTTCTGTTATTTTACATAACTGAATCAAGCTTGTAGGAGACGCAAGACCACAGGAAAAAACCAACAAGGAAACATCATTCTTATATAGTTTTCCTTCAAAAGTGGATGGGGTTGTAAGAGATTACACCAATTAAAGCTTGAAAAAAAAAAAATCATCAAAGTATCCTGTAATCACTTAAATAAAGGAAATCCTGTTTATACAACAAAATTATATATTTAACAAATCAATGAAAGAAGAAGGCTGATGGATTCTGTTCAGCTATTTATCAGCGTTTGATAGAGCAGAGGTTCAAGTCTACTGTTGAAGAGCTTTCAGGTAGGAATCAGGAACTCGTGTCCACTGAGAATTTGATTATCATCAAACACCCCCCCCCCCCCCCCGTTTCTTTCTGTTCTTATAAAAACAGGTTTTGTCACTTTTATTTATGTCACAATGCATCTTATCACAAATCTCTGGTTAAACACTGTTGAAAAAACAAGCTAAAAGAGAGCAATTCAGTTTGGTGTATTTCATTTTTTTCTTTTATTGAGCATCTATTTACAATGTTGTTAGCCAGAAATAAGCAAATGAATAGTCCATGGAGAAAAATTACAAGTGACCTAGTTGATAAAGATCTGGCTCATTGCAGTAAAAAAAACAAAAAAAAAAAACATCTTCAACTAGCATGATGTGTTTGGCCAACAAATGTTTGTGGTTATGATGATTGGTAAAATTAAATTGAAATTAAAATTAAAATCTGTACAGATTTCACAAATCACATAATCATATTACTTGTTTCTAGATTTCTCACTCATTTTGTCTGTAATTCACTGCATGAATTATTGTACAATAATTAGGATAATCATTCAGTCTTCTGTAAAATGGGAAAACACATGTTTGGTTGGTTGAGATTCAGTTCAAAGTAAAATGATGAAATAAAAAAAAAATCATTTTTTCCCACTGATTTCATGTCTTTCTACGCTTGTTCATTCTGCTCTATGTTGGCCACCAGACCCTTGGTGTCCACAGGGGCTCGGATCGGATTGTTGAAATATAACTTGTTGTCAAAGGTGCATTCTCCCAAGACGGGGGTTGGTATCCGTTTACGGAAGAGGAGGAAGACACCGAGTCCGACTACGGCAATTACAACTAGTACTATAGCCACAGTGATGCCAGCAGACCCGTGTGAAGCTTCTTCAACAATGTGGGCTAAGGAGGAAAAACACAGAGAAGTATTAACAGTGACATAATTAAGGTTTGAAACGTCATTTTCAATAGATATCTTAATCAAATGAACTTACCAACAGCTGGAGGTTTTTCTGTTGGTGTAATACCTAATAAAAATAAATAAAAAAAAGATGAATTACTCAATGTAAGTTACTGATGGGAAAATTTTAAATGACATAACAGCTGATTAAACTTACTTTTGGGTGTTTTGCAGATGTAAGACCTATATCTGCTGCAGCTGTTTGTACTCCACTGTCCACTGTCAGAATTGATGTCCACACATGAGTCTGACTTCGCTGTCACCTTTTTCCAGTTGGTGTAGTCCACAACGCTGTTATCGATCCACGTCCACTGACCTGAAACGAGGAAGCTTGTTACCTCACCAGCCAAAGTAGCCCACTCAGACACAGTAAACTTTTTGCATACAGTGTGTAATGTACTAATGTTTGAGTTTATTGTTTTTGAAACTTTTACACAAGAAATTAATAAACTTAAGTGTTTTATGCTGACAAGAATGATGCATGAATTTCGCTTCAGTAAGCCGCGCTCACCTTCGTGGGTCTTGTAGAGGCCAATCCAGAAGGTTTTGGCCCCGTCCTGTAGAAGCTCCAGGTTCTGTTGTATGAACAGACTCTCCTGGGGGTCCAGGATACTCACCAGGGCTGCGCCTGACGAACACAGCCACAGGAGCACACTGTTACATTTTATATGCATACAGATAATCATTAATCCGTGGAAATTCTTCACAACATACCCATTTTCAGGCATTCAACTGAGGCATGGGCCCAGTTGTCCACCACTGAGCTAAGGAAGGCATAACAGTGGCCTCTGAAAGGTATCCAGGGTTTTCGCTTCTTTGGCTCTGGACATTTGCCAGGAAGCTGTGGAGGCTCAGTGGGAGCTACGTCTGAAAAAGAGACAGGAGATTGCATCGTAGTCTCAGGGACTGCTGGGTAACCATGCTTACTGTATATAGAGCAAGAGCACTAACAGAGGGGATTGTCTGACCTGGTGACCTCTTGCAAAGGGAATAATAGTTATTAGTACATGGCGCAGTCTTCCATGTTTTGTCCACATCCATATACACACAGCCGTAGTTGTTTTTAGGCTCCTCCTTGCCCCATTTGGTGTAAGACAAGAGCCAGTTGTCGACCCACTTGAACCGACCGTCAGTCTGTGAAAAAGATATCATCACTTACACTCATGAAATATTATACAGAACGACAAAGAAAGACCCTTATGTTGGTTTGGTTTGAACCCTATTTGAAGTAGTGGTGTAAAATAACCAGTAGATCCTTTACCACATTGCTATTGAGGCCAATCCACACAGGCTCATTGTGCTTGGAAATCTGCAAGGTGATGTATGCCTGGGTAACGGGGTTCAGGATACTGGCCATATCTGCATCATCTGCTTGGCACTGCCTCCTCGCCTCATCCCATCTCATCTTCTGGGCCACAAGTTTGTAGGAATCATTGCCGAGCTTGTAGAAAGCCTTCGGTAACACGGTGGTGGGTGGGACTACTATCTGAGAATCTTTGTAAATAGGACAAATCAGCCGTTAGTCGCAATCATAAGACAAACCTTTATACCTCATGGCCCTGTAACCTGGCCTTCACTCACCGATGTTTCTTTTACAGATGAAGCCTCTCTTTGAGTTACAGTCTTCCACTTTCCAGAATCCCGATAGTTTGGAGATGCTGCCCACCATAATCACACAGTCGAACATCTATCGGGCAGAAAAAGGTGCATTAGTTCAGCTTGGTTGTACCGCTTTGAGGGGTTTTGCTTTATTTCAATGAGACTACGCACATTGATTGGAAGTGAAATGTACACATATAGATATCTGAGGTTAAGATAAACAACGGCCACTTTGGTAGAGCTGACAGGATATCTGGTGATAGTAGTAGTTTTTTGTTTGCGGGTGTCATCCATAATATTTTACACCTCTTTGCAACTATTCTGCAACTAGACTTGTTTTTCATTTTTTTTCTTATTATGCTTCTTTTATTTCTGTTAAGCACATTGAATTACCTCTCTGTATGATAATGTGCTATACAAATAAATTTGTATACATTTGTAATATTGAATGACAGTGTAGGAGAGACAGTTGTACAGTAAAAACTTTGGATAAAGAAGTTGAAACGACCTCATCCATGAATGAATAACGTCCATCGGGCACTGTTGTTGGATGTCCTTTGGCCCAGTTGGTGTATGAAATGCCTTTGCCGTCTGTCCACACAAAATGCATCTCCCAGTTGACGTCGTTCATGCCGATCCAAAAATCTTCATTGTATCTCAGCATCTGCGTTGTTAGGAAAGCTAAAAAGAAAGAGGTGTTTCTTATTTACATAAGACTTCATCACCCTTACAGACAACCACAGAGGAAAGTGGTGTGTGAACATTGCAGACGTGCTGATCATAGCACTCACCTTGCTCTCGCTCGTTGACGATAGAAACCAGATTTCCTCCCTGGTTTATGCAGTACGTCCTGGCGTCCTGCCAGCTCTTGTTGTCATCCCCCACAACAATTTTGTAGCACTGTAAAAACAAGATGATTCTGAGGTGTTTTTTAGAATAACAAGCAGATGGGAAGTAGTTAACTAGTGACCGTTTAAGCTTAGACAAAATATGGAAAGACATTTTATCAAAACAGCTTTACATTGCGTACATCCGAGAATTTAATTCACTTCCTGAAAGCAGGAAGAAACCTTTGTCTCAACTGCACTGAAGTGATCTGTGTTGTAGATAGTTATACATAATTACCTTTCCTTGGAAAGATAGCCATTCTGGTGCACACCCTCCCCTTGGAATAGTGGTGGGGGCGATTGTTGTATTGATAAAACCACTGCTTCTTTTGCAAATAGAGGGTAGCTCCATACCACAGTTAATATCATTCCAGTACCCTGTATGTGCAGTGTTAACAGAGAACAATGAATAAATAATAATAAGAAAATAATTATTAGCTAATGTTTACCAAATCAACACAGTATAGACTGTCTCTGCTTTAGACTCACCCATGCTCTTGTATATAGAAACACAGTTTTCATCATTGTTAGCAAAGTTGGGCTCATTCTGTTCCCATGCAGTGTAAGTTATAGGGGTACCGTCCACCCAGCTAAAATTGGAAAAATTAAAATGAATAAGATGCCATTAATTTAAAAAAAAAAATCATCACATCTGCATTTCTGTTTTGTATCAAATGTCAGACTAGTTTTGATGTCAAATAGCCAGTATCCCAGTAGTGCTGTGCCTTAATATTGTAGTTTCATTTACCTAAATGACTTATCCAAATTCACTATCATACCAATGTAGTATTGTCCTTCTGTGCCTTTTGCTATCTGTTGAAACAGAATGTAAAGAGAGACATTACATTAAGGTTAAATCAGTTGTTTCAGTACATTTGCCAGCAGTTTTTTGAGAACACACAACATGTTGCCATTTTGAACTTATTGAACTTAGATACTCTTAATTTCTTGCCTGTTTCCAAAGGAACTTCCTCTCACTCTCCCCTGTGATGACCGCAAGTTCACCAAAATTTTTTTTGCAGTAGGCTCTGGCAGCCTCCATAGCTAGGTTGTCA